ACCACACTTAACATCGATGCCATTTTTAACACCTCACTTAACATTGATGTCCTTTTGCACACCACACTTATTTTTCCATTCCAAGATTGCTGATGACAAAACGAGCTACACCATCCGAGCCGAGGACAATCCCAGCATACTGATAGTCATATCAGGCACAGCGGAAGGCACCAATGAAACGCTGCCAGACGGGGAGAAGCTGGATCTTAAACGAGGTTCTGTGTTCTTCATGGCTGCCAATCAGGAAGTAGCATTGCAGTGTCAGCCAGGTGGCATGCTAATATTTAGAGCATGTTGTCCATTGGATTAGAGCCTAAGCCAATCAGGAAGTAGCATTAAAGTGTCAACCAGGTGGCATGATAGGACAGTGTTAAAAAAGGTCAAAGTCATTTTATCAGGGTGTACAATACAGCACCAGTTTTCAATAAAATTTACCTCAACAGTTAATTCAAATCCACTGTTCTGCAAGTCCGAAATTACTATGGAAACTGAACCCAAATCTGAAAATGACGGCTTAGGTAATCATTTATTAATTTTTGGTTAGCCTTGTTATTTTTTATCAACATTGTGATTATATAATTGAAAGATCATGTACAAAATCTTTGCCACAAGTTACTGTACATGATTATACCGGTGGAATACCCATCACTTTACACATAAATCTTACATTCTACTTAATATTACCTTCCATATGCTTTATAAGACCAATTCTCTAACGGGTATGTGACAATCATTGTACAACCAAACCAATATTGTTAGAAGCTTGTACAATTTCCATGAACACAGAGTTAAAATATTTTTAGTTGAACTGATTGAAAAAAAAAGGCAGTAAATTTCTACAAATGACAATGTAATTGTGCCTTTCTGCAGAATTTAATTTTAAATTGGGGCATTTAAATAAATATGGTGCTATGCAAGATGAAATTTGTTTTGTGTATATTTTCTATTATTGCATTGAGGACGCCCTCTATATTAATAGCAATCAACTGTCCTAGTTTTTTTCAAGAATTTCAAAGTCCCAGAAAAGTATACCTCAGTTCACAATAAATGCCGCCCTCTAGTGGCCACCTTCGTGCAGATGCTAAAATGACTGGGTTGAAGTACTTTCCTTTAGGATTTTTATCACAACTTGCAGTTCTTATACAAACTTACCATGTCAAAGCATATACAAGTATGGAAGATATCGAAAAACCAACACACCTGGGTAGAGCTAATATATAAGTGAGAACTAAATGTGGAGAGACAAGTAGTTAAAATGACATGCTGATGACCGGAAATATTGATATAGGGAAACCCCACCATATTCTAAATCGATGCTATTGCTCAAATGGTAACCTAGCAACTCGAGATCACAAACGCAAATAGCCGATGAGAAGAGTGAGAGACCCACAAGACTTGTTTCCGTCTTAGAAAGTGTTTCATTCCATCGTGTCCATACCAAAGTGCCACAGAGTGGTAGAAGTAGATGAAACACTATTTTGAAAGATAGAAAAATAAATCGTGTAGCTTTCTCACTCTCAAAGACCATTTGCAAACAAGCTGTACTGTAACAGTCAAAAATTCTTTCGTATGCCACGATTTGTCACACCTTGTACGTATTTTATTCAAAGTGTCTGAAGAAATCAACAGATAACATAATAAAAATCTGCCAGTATTTGTGACAAGAGAAAAAACTGACGGCAAGAAAAAAAAAAATACTATTGTATAAATCACAAGAAAAAAAAATGAACACATCATTGAATGTACCTGATTGAAGTGGTGGTAGGAATGAAGAGACCAGCTCTTCTATTTGTAAAATTATAATTATTCTAAACTTTCATGTGAATCATCAACAATACACCTTTTTCTGTA